TTTATCGTGTGGAAGTTGGTTGTTTTATTCGACTGCCATCAGATGTGTCATACCTGTACTGGGTATGTAGATCAACTCACCGTGCCAAACTGAGAAGAGCATCATTGACCGGATAGAGAGGCCGCATGAATGAGAAAAAAATATCCCGGAAAAGGCACCTTTTCCAAAGCCAGGCCCCAAATATTCTCGTTCAACTGCCAGGGCCCTGGCCACCAAGTAGCCCAGAAAGGCTGGATAGATATATGCAAGCTGGCGGGGCTTACCGCTTTATCGAAGCATGCTACTACTGCTCACCTACTCCAGAAATGGCCATGTCTTCAGCAAGAGCCTAAAACGTACCTGAATCCCTCAGCCAAGTCCGACGAATCATTGTACATCAATCGGGTTGTGTTTTGCATGTGGTCATGAGCTCTTTCGGTTCTCCCGGACTGCGTCCGCCAACAAAGCCCAAGCCGTAAGTGCATGCAGAGATGACGTGCCTAGACATTGACGCTCTCGAGTGGTCACATCAGCTAACATCCGGCTGATCGCCTTAGACCGCAACGAGGAAGTTTCCCTCTCGACCATGATGGTACACCTTTCATATACCCAATTTGGTGCTTTTTCGAGCAAATGGGCTGACATATAACACAATTCAGGTGAATGTCGTGATATCATGAGAGATTACTTGGCCTGTATCAAAAGAGTGCGAGGTGTCAACGAGGATGAATGCCGTGGCCTGGCCAAGTCATATCTTTCTTGCAGAATGGACCGGTAAGGACAGATAATGAGTCAATTGCCCAGAGCTTCCACTGGAGAATACATGTCGCGGCACTATGCTAATGCAGGGCTTAGAAACTTGATGGCGAAGGACGAATTCAAAAATTTGGGCTATCAGGATGCGCCTGAGGCCAATGGCAGCCAACAGAAGCTCTCTGGAGGGCTGGCAAAAGCCGATCAGGCCGGCGATAGTCCAACAAGCACCAGCTGAAATAAGCCGCCCTGATATGTATATGTGAAGATTCACAAATCAGGAATAGCCACGCGCTGACTATGACTCCATGGCTTGGTCTTGTCAAAGCGGTCTATGAGCACGCACGATGAGGTGTACAAACTACTCTGCTCAGATAAAGTGATTGTATGAGGTGCAGGGATTAGGTCAAGCATGTGACCAGTGTATTCTTTTTCATCTTTTTCCAGCCTCGACGTTTTGCCAAGGCTATGTATCTATATCACCATTCTCATGTATTAATACAGGTTACGCGCTAGAGAATCAATAATCAACACGAGACTCTGAATCCCTTCACGTCGATAGGCGAGGTAGTATTGTTGTTTGTTGCCTGACTCCAGGGTATGACGTGAAATGGTGAACGATCAAATTAGGCGGTAGGGGTTGGAGCTGGAAATACAGGGAATGTGTGCCTGCTAGCCTGACTGGTATGAGGAGATGCCTGCCCTAGAACAGGGAAGACGGGGGCATTAACAGCCTGACGCGGGTACTGCTACCTGCTGAACAAGCGCTGAGTTGCTGGACCAGGTGCGTTGCAAGCTGAAGCTAAGTACCGCTACGGCGGGTTGATGCATGCACTCAATTGTGGGTTGCCAGGCCAACTCCCGCATTAGGAGCTGCTGCCCGTTTACAAAACCGCTCCTATCGCCGCCACCCAGTTGTTGTCTAACCACTTGCTGCTTCCTGTTCATCAATTTGCTTCGCTCTCATCCATACTTATAGAAAGACATCCCTCTCCTCTTTTGGTTCATGTGTGCAGTGTAATTATTTTTATTCCATTTTCCTCTTGCCTTGGCTGTGCAGATCGTACTCTTTTGTGTGGGAACCATGTCAACCATCAAGGGCAGACCAAGCGATCCTCCGAAATCGCGGAAGGTGACGCCTCCGTCCCCGTCATATATGTCAAGTGATCAGTTTGGTATGTGTTGTGATTTGAGATATCGCAGCTACTCTCCAAGCCTCTGACGTTTCTAATTCCATCAAGCCAAGTATCTCGCCGATCTTCGAACGAACCGAGTGGCACGCCCAGGCGGGGCACGGCCACAACCTGCAGGAGCTCGTCCAGCTCCCAGTCGAATGAGCACTGGCCGCGCAAGTGCTGGGCGCGATAGCCTTGCTGAATCCTCTCATGCGGAAACCCAATCAGTCCCTCCCGAGACCCGAGCTGAAAGCCCAAGTGTCGCTGCTGGCAGCATCTCTTCGCGCTACTCCTCCCCAGTTATTCGCAGCCGAGATTCTTACTCGTCCAAGTCAACCGTTCAGCCGTTGAAGCCTTCCGAGGTTGTTCCAACCGCTACGTACATCGAGCGTGGCCAACGATGGATGGAGAAGGAAGAGGCATCTTCTTTGCGTGATGCAATGCACGACATGGATCTCAAAAAGAGCTCGAATAGGAACTCAGTCAAGAGTGCCGAGGAGTCGCCTGATGAAGAAGAGTCTCGAATATACAATGCTGCTCTGGACGAAGCCGCCGAGCTTGTTTGGCAACATCAGCATCCCAGCGCAGCTCCAGAACCTCATGCTCCCTACCGATACCGATCTCATCTCAAAAAGAATAGCTATGCGTTTGCGCGCACTGCGAGCGTCGGTGGATATACTGAAGATGGCGAAAAGCGAACCTCAGGCTCTCGATCAGTATCAGATAGCTCCACCGGAAGCGAGGGTTACTCTCGAGATGGCCAAGCTTCGGTAGACGTCCGTCAGCCAAAAGAACAGTCCCGTCAGAATTCCAAACCATATGGTTCAATGGGGGCCAGTTCCAGCTCGAGGCCAGACCACCGGCGTCGCAGCAGTATGAAACGAAACATCAGTGGCGAGGTCCAGCGCCCGTTCTCGGGCGATCAGATCTGGGAAGAGCCCGAGCCGCCTTCAAAAACAGGCACACCTCGACCAGGCGCGGCGACTGCAGATGCACTGGCTAGCAGACCACACAACCCACTTCGTCGTTCTCAGCCTCCGTCTGATACGAGTCCTGTCAAACCTCTGAACCGCGTTGAGATCTACCGCAACCCGCCCACGCAGTCTCGCAATGCTCAGTATACCATCAATTCTGAATTGCCCAGAACTTCGACGGATGATCAAGTGGAGAGGAAGAATGGCGTGGAGGTTCGCAGCCAGGACATCCGCAATGCCACAAGCATGAAGATCAAGGACCGCAGCCCCAAGCTCCCAGAGCCAACCGCCGTCAGCGACAACCCCGGGCGGCCAATTGTAAGCTTTAACGCGAACTGGAAAGCTCCCGACGAGTCCACTGATGCCAACTCAGGCCACAAAGAAGCAGCGCCGCAAAGCGGGCTCCAGTCCAACTCCACGTTCCAGCCCCAGGTTGTGGACATCCCTATTATTGCTGTGGAAGAAGGCGACCCGTCGCCATCACGTTCGCAGCGCCCTACGACCATTCCGTCATTCAGTATAGGAGCTGATGACGGATCAACTTCACGCCCGTTACCCTCTACGACTATTCCATCCATCACCATCGGTGCAGATGATGGATCAGCTTCACGCCCTCGGCCCCCTACGACCATCCCTTCCATCAGCATTGGAGAACATGATGGGTCATCTTCACGCCCCGTGCCTTCGATCAATATCCCTGATATTGCTATTGACGAGCCGACGGATCGTCCAAACGTCCCTGTGATTTCCACACCTGATAGTCGCCCGGCGGCAGCTCCAAGGAGCCTCCCAGACCCCAAGTTGTGTGGTCAGCGCCGCCCACGTGCTCCCCTTCCGGCGGGACGTGGTCACTGGTCGCCTGCCCCAGGAGCGGTGGCCCGACAGTCTGCGAAGTGTCACGAATGTTTCCATCCAATCGAAGGAAGGTTTGTGGCCCTTGCTGGATCGTCAGACAGGTTCCACCCACATTGTCTGCGATGTTTCACCTGTGGCATGGGGCTAGAGGCAATGGAGATCAGCCCTGAGCCGGACCACATACGGGCGGAACGTGTTGATCGGATCCGTCGTCGTGCAGCTGGTGAGATCTTGGAGGAGACTCCTGGTATGACCATGGCTGAGGATGGAGACGATAGACTCAGATTTTTCTGCCACCTTGACTGGCATGAGCTGTATGCGCCAAGGTGCAGGCATTGCAAGACTCCTATTCTTGGTGAGCATATCGTGGCGCTGGGAGAACACTGGCATTATGGTCATTTCTTCTGTGCCGAGTGTGGTGATCCCTTCGAACAGGGAATGACACATATCGAGAAAGATGGTTATGCATGGTGTGTCAAGTGTCAGACCAAGCGTACTGAGCGCCGTGCCCCCAAGTGCAAGAAATGCCGTACTGCTGTGATTGGGCAGTACATTCAGGCCTTGGGGGGCGAATGGCATGAGCACTGCTTCCGCTGTGCTGAGTGCCAGGGCGGGTTCGACGATGGCCAGATCTTCCCAAAGGACATCCCCGGTGGAATGGTGGTACTCTGCACTGGTTGCAGAGCCAGGGAGCTTAAACGATAATTACCATTAGAACGACGTGCATGAGTTCAGGTTGGTTTGCGACGGTGTTTGTTTTGCATGGCTTGGGGTTTGATTTCTGTAAATTGCGACTCTTCGATTGGAGGATTGATCCGGACTGTAATAATACAAGATTGTGTTTGGGCATCAGTTTACTGAGGGAACTTTCGTGGCAACATGCACATTCTCGGAGAGGGTTATGATTCCAATATCCTCATTAGAGACTGCTCTTGTGATGTTCGTGAACTGACTCTCTATTCTCGTATAATATTCACCATGTAGTTTTCCATCTACGGTGACGTTCATTCAAATCCCTAAACTCCAAGATTGCTGATTTTGCTTGACCAAGGAGCGCCTGGAGGAAGATGCGGACCAGAAACATTCATGAAACCATTCATCATCCAGCCTCCAGAGATGAGCTGTTTGGGGATCTCTCTCTAAAAAAAAAAGAGATGGTAACCACAGCAGTTCATCGTGCGCGTGTCTTACCCAAATTCCTTATACCATGTGTCGTCGCGACCCACCCCAACAGATTCCTGGCAGACACCGCTAGACCTGCCTATTACCATCCTCCGACCTGCTCCTGATGGACATCTAGTTGATCACCATCCGTCATCTCCAACTGTGAAATAGCCTTGTTAGCTGCATCCTCGCACGTAAACTAGGGATAGATAGAGTTTGGGGAGGAGCGGAGAAGAGAGAGTCAAGTTAACGTACGGCTTCCGGTGTATCAGAGGGCTGCACGCGGGTGCCCTCAAACAGGAACCGGACGGAGCTGATGGACTTCCCCTGTCTCTCGCAGAACGCGGTCATGAGCTTCTCCAGCTTGGTGGTGCGCTTGATCTTGAAGAAGATCTCGTTGTTGTTGTCGCTGACTTTGATATTCAGATGCTCGGCGCTTGGGGCGGCCTCGGGGGTGGCACTGGGGTGCCGTTCTCGTGCTCAGCGGACATGTTGGAGGTGGGTTGAGGTTGCTTTGCGTTGTGGTGCCTGGCTGTCGAGAGAGGTCAGATGAAAACGCCGAGACTGGACTGAAAGAATTCTGAGAGGGCGGGAGATGAAAGGAAGTGATGCGATTACTTACAGTTATGCGGCTGGTCTCGTGAAGAGGTCGCAGGGGTTTTGAGAGCGGGATGAGAGCGTTGCGATGTGGTTGAAAGGAAGAGGGAGGGGAGGGTGAGGTGGCGACTGTTGAGAAAGGACGGTTGCAAAGGGCAGGTCTATCCGCGCAGAGGTGAGGTTGGAAGAGTGAGAAGAAAGTCCGAAATGGTTGGATGCCAACGATGGCTTGACGCGGGTGCTTAGGCGGGTGTTTGGAGGGCAACTGTTGGCTGCTGGAGGGAGGTGGGGAGCGGTGCAGGCGATTGGCCAGGGCGAGACGAGCGGTATCCACAACAATAGGCTCCAGGCGCATTTTTCTCCTGCTGGTTCGCGGTCAACGTTGAGTTAGTCATCAAGCATCGCCTCTCCGGAGCCATGGCTACGGGTAGGAAGCTGCATTACTGATCACGATTACGACACCCACACAGCCCGTGTCCTCGAAATTACAATGGTTCGGTGGCACCCTTGTACACGGCTTGGTTTTGAGCATATGGGTGGCTGACAATGGTGAACAGGCACTCGACGACGATGTGGAAGCAAGTCCCCCATGCCATCCTCGAGCTGTGAGTGCAGATTCCCTTCCCTAATCTCATGCTGGCACTCGGCTCATCATCCCTTGCTAGTGTGCAATCCAGGGTAGGTCAATGTTACAAAAGGACCGCAGGCGTTTTCTTGCTAAAGCATCACAGCTTGCTTAACAAAGAATGGGTACAAGGAGGAGAGATGCCAATCGGTTATCAAGGCCCTCTACCAGTGCTGCGAAGTATTCTACGACCGCTACGGAGACGACGCGACCTCACCTAGTTGCCCCAAACCAAAACTTCTGCGGCTCAAGCTGGAGCAGCTCAAGGACCGGTAATGCTCTGGGCAGCAGAAGCTCTTTGTACGAGATAGATAAAGAGCAGGTGCTGTACGATCCTAAATAGAAAGCCGTATGCTGTTGCCTTTGTACGTGTGAAATCTGTGGCGCCCATCGGTTATGTCCACCAGGATAAGTCTCAGGTAACGTTATGAGATGAGCACCGAATTTCTTCTTGGCTATCGTTGAGCGCGCGAGAGATCCGCGTGGGACCTGAACAAGTATTGAAGGTATCCTGTTCCGAGACTCTAATACGAATGCCGTGACATTATAGAGAAGAAGAAAAAGAGAAACGAAGTTTGCATTTTCGGTGGGTCAATTTGAAGGTGCTCTCAGGGCTCGGTTTGATGCATAGCCCAGTCCTGCCCCTGCAGTATCGTTGTAAAGGGGCTCGAGTGCTTGGCGCGTCGTTGTGAGCCCAGCGCAGGTCGTGTTAGGTGTGGCACCCTGGTAACAAAATCCCAACTGCTAATCCATTGGCGATCTAAACAGACCCGAAGAGTGTGAAGGTCAAACTGTACCACAACAGCGGCCCTCAGCGACGACCTTGGCCGATATTCTTTTTGTCATGAGGTAGCGCACGGAAGAGGCGCACTGTCCACATTGCATCTATCTGCGAACTCTTCTACCTTTCGCAACTCTATTTAGCATTGTCTAGCTCCAGCCTTTGTCCTTTTTTTTCGAAACAAGTCGAACCGCCCCCGTCGAAGCATCGGAGAGCTGCCTTGAGCCGTCGCAAAGATAAACCGACATTATCGAGCCGCGTTTTGCTCGAAGAAATATCAACCTGATACCCATGGCCGGTATGGATCTTGACATCCCGTTGGCGCCTCCAGTTGAGAAGCTGGAGGACGAGGAAGAGGGAGTGACCCCAATCGAGCTAGGCATCGAATTTGAACAGTTTGCAAATTCCCTCGACGACTGTCTTTCGCCTCATCTTTCGGAAACCGAGAGGCGAGATAAATTATTGGACATCCCGCGAAAATACTACGAAAATGCGACCAAACGATTAGCGCAGCTCCAAGAAATCAAGCTTCGCAGGCCCAACGACGATGTTGATATGGACACGGACGACCTTGGAGTCCAGGGATTATCGTTAGACGAAGCGGAAGAGATTGCGCAGCTGGAGCGGGAGGTTCAGACCTGGGATTTACTGCGACGGGTTTTGCCTCTGCGACACCCAACCTCTGAAACTAAGGAGCAACTTTCCCGCTTCCAGAAGCTAGGAGATCGACCCAACAGGAACGTTTCTCTCGATCATTTTTTCCAGGTTGACCCGGTCGCTGCAGAACGCCGAGCTGTCTTGCAGTGGCTTCAAAACAGTGCTGCTTCAGGCCCAGATATCGATGAGCTGTCAAGGGAACTGCAACAAAACGCTGACCGGGGTGACATAATCTCCCACGGCTGGCTGCATACTCGGTCCGCGATCAAAATGAAGAAGGGACTTACGGGCTGGCCCCATCTTCTCGACCGCCAGTCCGTCGACATCAACAAGTCACACATCACAAGCACTGGCGCGCCTCTTGTGACTCAGCTGGACCCGGATGCTCCATCAAGGCAAGGCCGTAAACTGCAACCACAAGACGAATACTTCGAACGCGCGATATGGTTGGGCTGCTTCGAGCACCTTCGTCGGGGTAGCAGCCTGGACAAGATCCGAGAATGGTGCCAAGAGAGGACGGAGATGTGGAGGGCAGTTTCCACGTCAGCATTACTTCTACCAACAGACCAAGATGCTGTGGAGGTGGAGGCAGATCCGCTGTCTTTGGCTCTGTGGCGCCGGATGTGTTACAGCCTGGCTCGCCAAGGAGGATCTGACGATTATGAGCGTGCTGTTTATGGTCTTCTCTCCGGAGATATCTCAAGTGTTGAAAAGGTAGCAACGAAGTGGGATGATTACCTGTTTGCCCATTACAATGCTCTTCTTCGGACCCAGATCGACACGTTCCTGTTGTCGCAATGCGATAGTGGTGCGGTATCGAGCTTGACTACCACGTTCCCATCATTCGACGCCATTCAATTCCATGGCGAGGCTGAGCGTGTTGAGCGGCGTCTGGTTCGCTCCATAGAGACTCAGAGTACGACTCTGAGGGATGAAGCTTTTGAACCTAACAAAGCCCTCCAGGCATCTATTGTTGCTAAAGAAGTCGATGACTACCTCTACTGGCAAGGAGAGTCTTTAGGCATAACTCCCGAGTTTGATAACCCCTCGGCCATTGTGCGCAATGCACGAAGTCAACCCAAACGCCAAGCCATCAAGTTTTTCGGTCCGGACGATTTTGATGGACTTCGGATCGTCGGGCATGTATACGTCCTTGTTACACTGCTGGACAGACTCGACAGGGAAGCCGAGGGCGCCCTCAGTAAGCCCGTGAACCAAGAACGGCGATTCGCCCAAGAATCTATTATTGCGTCATACACAGACTTGCTCAGGCGGGCCAAGCTTCAGGAGTTGATTCCTCTCTACTGCTCCATCCTGGATCAACCTCGAAGCTACAGGGTCCTGAGTCAGAATTTAATCCATATCAGGGACTACGAGCAACGCCTCACTCAGCTCAAGTTGATAAAAAAGGCCACCATCGATGTCATTGAGTTCGTCACTTCGCAAGCAAACACGCGCTACCAGACTCTTATGTCGGTCAACGTAGATACATTCGAGGCGAAATCGTCCTTTAGTATTTTGAAAGAAGGCCTGCCAAGTGCTCGACTCGGACGTGGCGTCAAAGCAGACTTCTTTGGTGATGACGATAAATCCGTTGAGAACCAACACGAGGAGATGATTCGGGCTTTGGAGTGGCTATTAATGGTTGACGAGACTTGGGCATTGGTTTTCTCTTTTGGAGCGAACGTCTACAAGTATTTCCTTAGTATGTTTCTTTCATGGCTCCAGCGAACACCTGTTGCTGATTTAATTGTGCTAACGAGACGTCTAGAGCATATGCATCTCCTGGCGGCGAGGCGACTCATGGAGAGAGTTTCGTTCAACGAAATTATGCAGGGGACTGGTTTGGACGATTCTGATGATGAGGCCATGGATAGGATCCCATTCTGGTCTGATCAACTCAAGGAGAAGAACATTACTTCAGTCGCTCCTGAGAAAGTCATGGCTGACGCACGCAACTTCCGAGAGCTAGAGTCACTTGTCCGTGCCTTGGACAGCTTGGAAACTATCGGATCTCTGGTTGAGATTTCAGCGGAGTAAGTCACGCCTGTAATTTTTCACTATGTTGACGATGCTAACCGAACCAGTATCCCACCCAACAACCGCGAGTACTGGGGCAACTTCGGTGCCGCAGCTCGCACTGTTAAGGAAAGCATGGAGCCACTTTTGAAGAACTGGCTGCTTGCTGGCATCCAATGTAAGTTTTCTCCCCTCGGCCAAGGTTATGAACAAAAGAAGAAGGGATGGGCTGACATGATGTGTTGATAAAAGCTGGCGATAGTGAGCTCTCAGACTTGCGAAAAGCCTATCTCCCCGAAACAGTGTTGGCATACGTCAGCGCCTTGCACATTGCTGGCACTTCCCTCTCGCGGGATTGGCTGTTGGAGTGCATGCAGCTTGCCGCTGTGGTTGCTGAGCGCAACTCGGATCTTGACGGCACCTTTGTCGAAGCCAGGCGAGTCAAGGAGCTCCTGGAGGCATTTGCTGCCTGCAGCAAGGCACTGGCCATTACTACCGGCGACAAACGCGCCGCGAGCCAGGGCAGCAAGAAGCTCCGTGAGATGGGATGGTCGCGGGATCTCTGGTCCGTCAAGTCATCTTAAACAGAGTAGAGGGCGAGGTGTATTTGGGAGGGAAAGTGGCTTTTAGTGAAAGCAACCTAAGACAAGTAAAAGAGCAGCAACTGGGTATTGGCAGGCAGAGGGTCTCAGAACGACATTTAGCACAATGATGTCGAGGCGTTCAGGGAGAATTCGAGGTGTTTCGTTTTTCTTTGTTCCGTGGGTTTCCCTCGACCATTGAAACCCTTGGGGAAATGTAAATGATTAATA